TCGCATTAGCACACCCTGCAATCACAGGCGCTGAGTTAGTGCAGTATGTCGCAATGATGTCCTCCGTCTTGTCATACGTTATCACCACCGCCGTTTTGCATGATGCAAGCCTGCTCTAAACAAAATGTTTTCCACCTGTGCGAGGTTTTCAACTGAGACAGACGATTTTTAGTTAGCATGGACATTCAAATCTATGGCTTGGCTGAGGCCCAGCGTGTTAATTGCTAAGCTTCGATGCAATAAACCGCCGAGTTCTTTCATTTCACGTTGCCGTGACGTAACGTGGGTACCTTCGCGGCACCAGAAATGACGTCACCAATGCTCGACTGCCATGCGCCCCTGCAGGCTGGAGATTGGTTGATGTGACGCCGCGTGCAGTATGACGTAATGGGCGGAATTCATTTCTCTGATCAGGCACGACCATTCCTGCACTGTTGACAACACAGCCAGCACGGCCATGTCGGGTCAATTCCGTTTAGTAGTGCTTTGGTGTTTTCCGATAAGCTTTTATGCTTCTTTTTCATTTGTTTATACTGAAGCATTTTGCACAGTTGGTTTCAATAAAGAGTTCACACATAGAGTACTCAAAACAATAGCACAGATCGTTTCGTTTCCCGGAGCATTGTACGTGCCGCACTGCCGGGCCTGGGTTGCCTGTCGTTGGTCATTTGACAACTGGGATTTTCATGTCAGTGGGACCAAACAACACGCGCTCGTTTTTGGACTCGTGCTTAGCGCCGCTGTGTGGCGGATCCAGCATCTTTTCTTCAGAGTGCCGTGGCAGTTCCACGTTTAAAATCGAAGATGGAGTTGGAATGTATGGATATTGGTCCTGATACTCTGGAGCGTTTGTTGACGATGTTCATTATACGGGACATAAAGGAATGTTTCGTGCTAGTGACCATGTTTTAAATGACTTCCCTCGTATACTTTGCCTGAGCGATGCACGCACTGTCCGTACCATGCATTTCAACAATAGCACACGAACAAAGTAATAACCGAGGCTAACGGAAAGAACATCCAACGGCTTACAGTCGTGATCAGGGGTGCGGTTACCAATTCAGTTCGGATGAAATAATCCCTCCTCCTAACTTTGAGATAGAAATGGATCAAGTCAAGTGGGAGTCCAGCCTCTTAGAGCGTTTTTGGAATAGGTTCAGCCATATTTCTCTGTTCTACCCTCCTCTCGTAAACTTCTTACCGAAACCGCATTCAGGGATGTGACGTTAGTGACCAAAAAATGGAAGTGTGATAGCAAATACCAATGCATTCCGTTCTCATGAGCAAGGAGCCCTTGGGCGATAACAAGGGCCCAACACAAGGTACTGCAGATGCTTCGTCACGCCGCTCTTCCTTGCTCACGACCCAGGCCAGGACCGTGTGCTCATGGCTGATGACTCCCCCTGCTGCTGAAGACTCCCCCTGCTGCTGATGACTCCCCCTGCTGCTGATGACTCCCCTGCTGCTGATGATTCTGCTCTCGAATGCGACCCATCTGTGACCCATGACCCATGCGACCCATCCCACCCATGACCCACACCGTACGTGTGCGGCTGTGACCCAGGTGCGCGTCCCCTTCCATTCACCTCACGAGCGGATCCTGACCTCGCAGCGTTTGTTGCAACGCGGTGAGTTTAGGCCAGCGCTGAACTGGAAAAGTCCCTGCGCTGGTGCAGCGGCTAAAGCGACGGAGGGACGTGGTCATCTTCTCCACGTTCAAGGTAGTTCGAGCGCTTGATTGTTCTGTGAGAACTACGAGTGCTGGTAGTTCGGTACTGGAGTTGAAAGTGTTTTTTGTGGCATGTGGGTTTCAAACTCGAAGCGAATGGTTGAGAAAAAATGTCACATCGGGGCACGCGCATTGTCTGGTCGTTGAATCAGCTGTTCAAACGTCAAACACCGACGGGCCTCAGCGTCAGCAGCGCGCCTACCCATCTTAAAGGCCGGCCGCTGTTGTGAGGAGTAGATATTTTTTCTTGTGCTGGCAAACACGTTCTTGTGCAAGCCACACGCTCCCGAGTGGACGATCACACCACGACGCTCCCTAACCCATACGCTCATCTCCCTCGATCTTTTCCCTTTTTGTTTTGCTTTCTGTGATGAAAAATTAGTCAGCTGCCACTTGATTACAACCAGCTTGCATGCAATGTAGGTCTTGGTAAGTTATCTGCGGAACCATGCGCTCTGTGATGGTGATCAGCTAAAAACTCGTCACAATAGGACCCCATTCAGCAATGGGTAGTTTGCCAAGCATACTGGCACCACGCATGTAAACGACGCCAGGGGGGACAAGCTGCTGTATTTTCAAGTGCTGTATTTTGACTGGGCATGCATTTGTAGGCTCAGATAGAACAACAACAGGTGAAGAACCTCCGTATCGTGACGTGCGTGACTAATTGACTTGGTTATTTGCTGCTCTGGTCCGCTTAAATTCCATGTTGCGATTTGCAACGACTCATAACACGATAAGCCAGTATTAACTTGATTAACGTGATTCACA